AAAATCATTTGAATTAAATAACAATTCAAATATTAAATCAAATCAACCGTTTATAACGACAGTTTTAGATATGGCTTCGAAACTCACTGTCACCGTGTGTGACTCACATGCAGAATAATTAATCGTTTACTCCATCCCATACATTAAATGACCAATTGTAAATTCAAAATATTTGATACTTGGTAAGATAATAAACAGTCAGTAAGTTTCAACATATACAAACGGAAAAGCAAGATTCTCCGATACAACACAACGTGCACCAATCAAACCACACTTGATCGAGAAAATTTGGAGGATATATTTTTTGATAAAATGTACAGGATCACTTATTAAGAACACAAGGGGATAAATTTAAACGTGAGCTCAATCATACTACAAGGCAATTAAATGAAAGAATAGACTACTGACGGAAATTGTCAATAGTCAGCGTTGGCGTGTTAATGTTAACTAGAGAACCATAAACCGACAATAAGTTCTCGCTTATCTTCTCAAAAATAACAATATGAGTGAAGTCGAGCCGTCTGCAAAGTTCAAATTAATCTTAAGAAAAGGAAGATGTAGTAGATAAAGTTAAATTAATATTAGAAGGATTATAACAGAAGTCATAATTAGAAAAAAACAAACAATTTATTCACTAAACATTAAGTAGTGCTCATTTATTAAACTTTAAGGAAAAACAGGTTTCACCTATCATAAATCGAATAGATAAAAACACTTAAAATTTAAACCTGCCTCAATTGTGTTACTCAAACAGTATTATTCAGTATTAATTTTGATTATTTATGATAAGAATATAAGTTGAGAATTACTGTTATTTTCTAAAAGGAATTGAAATGCATCTAACTGACTAAGTTTGACATTTTCAACTATTTGGATTAAGTTTGATTGACAAAATGAGATTATTTTTTTTTCTCTTTATAGTGAATTGATTATTGAAGTAAGAAGATGAACTAAGGTATAGAAAATTAAAGATAACTGTTATAAATTCAAATAGTTGGAAAATATATAAGTAAATATATAATGACACTTGGATACAGAATCACCATAAGAAGTATAAGTTTACCTAGATTCGAACAAAAGTAGGGATAGTTTTCATAATCATATTGTATTAACCAGTTATCTTTTTTAAAAATTGATGATCAAAATAAGTTAATATTTTATAATCTCATACAGTGATTCATTATTCTTCATACGTGCATGAGTATAAACTGACACCAGTTACTACTGACTTAAGTTCAACCCTGACTTAAATGAAATAGAGTATTTGCGCTTATTGTGTACGATCTCGTGAATGTTTGTGCATACACACCATTAAACACTTGTCCGGTTGATATCATGCTTGTTTATATGAATATCGTACATATATTGAAATAAATAATGAATTAAAACAAAAGCTGAAAATGAGTTATTTGGTGACATAAATTAGAATTTGATATGATATACTTTCAATTGGTATTATTTCTAAAGTAAATGACTAAATTATTAATGAGAGTTTTATTGCATATTCAGTACATTTCAAATAAAACTTTGTGTTTTTCTGTATCAATGATAAAAAATAGACTAGACTGATTTGTTCCCTGGTAATTGTTCCTTGACTATACAAAAAATATCACATATCTACTTATCTAATAGCAATAATAATACCTTCAAATCATACCATAAAGTTTGTTACAGTAGAATATCCTTAACACAAAATGTACAATCAAGCTGCTGGTTCTAAAAGTTATATGGATATTTTTAGTTTATTAAAAACAATGAAGGAAGAGCTGTTTGTCTTATTTATGACTCTTCAGTTAGATATTCATTTTCACAATGAAATACGAATGTATTACTTATCCCTTTAAAATTCAACGCGTTATCGGCTGAGCTAATGAGTTCAAATAGCCATTAGCCTATGCAACGGATATGGTTTTTATATAATTTATGAGTGTTTATATATGTCCGCTATTCGAACTATGGGATGCTAGTGATCAGTCACTATAAGTGAATGAACATCGTAAGAGGATTATTTCGGTATAATCATCCAGTCATAAGTATTTAAAACAAATCGCTTGGCATATTCCAATTGAGACGGATAGTTTACTTTTAACTTATTAAATTAATTTAAACCAACCGACATATTGATAGGTGGATAGAGAAAAAATTACTTATATTACTCACAAAGGAACCAACCACTATTCATAAGCACCGTAAAGAAAATCCATTATATTTGTTATAAATGAACATAATTAGCTTAACTCCAATGCAAGAAGCGATAGCTGGTAGATGGAAACATATTTTACAAAAAGAGCAAATCGAAATTGATTTTTGTGCATTTTTATTTACACCGATTAAGAATCAGATGAATAAATGGAACTGAGATTAATTTGGCATTAGTTAAGTGATCACCTAATGTATGAACACAATCCACAATATCATATGATCAAACTGCTATGGCAAACAACTATACATCTAATTTACCGGCTTATGTAATTACTTCTTTGTAATAAAAAACACTTAAATACATAAATGAGGTTTTGTTGTGGGAAACTTTGTGGCGTCCATTATAAATGTGATGAGAGTTAGAAACATACTTTTTTTCTCCATTTCAGAAAATGTTATTCATTACATGTGTAAAAACTGAATTCTTAATCACCTTATTCTATCCATTACTCATCCATGAACGACGAATTGCAAAGTGGTGATCACGCCTAGTTATGCGCCTAGTGTAAATAAATTAGTTATAATTAAGTAATTATTCATCCTTATTAGTACAAGGAATTATGGAGACTGTTGAACTTGTGGTTTATTTTTATTGCAGAATTGTTTTTGTTGAAAAATACTATTGGAAATTAGAAGACTGCGGCCAACTGTTCTGTACGAAACTCGTGAAGTCTACGTGACCCTCTAACTACTGATAGGACATCAAACGATTTATATTTCTAAATTTGATCAACTCACGACCATATTTCATTGTCATTTATAATACATGTCCCATAGGCGATATGGATGGAGACTTTGATGATTATCATGTTCATCTGTTCACTGTTTTTAGGCAATGCATCTATTTCAAATATATCTTACCTAACTTTGTTTATACGTTACCAAAGAACTTACCAGCTTAATTTCTTTCAAACAATTTAAATGGATAGTAAAAATATGTATTCGTTTAGGTCTAGATATATTAAAGAACTTTGATTCTTATACTAAGCTCATATACACTAAACCATCATTTAAAAATAATTTTCATCAATATAATACAAGTTGAAAAACTATTAATACCCAGAAATAACTAGACAGTTTGGTGGTTGGAGGTTATCAGAACAAAATTTGGAACTGTTTGGTTAGACAGTCTTAGTTGGATGAATATGGAGACTTTCTTTCCTATTGAGGGCAGAGGGGTTTAGCATTATGTGAAACGCTTCGGTTACTCACCATTTCTTTATAATTGGAAAAGCCTTTATAAATTATTTTGATATTTTTAATGTCGATTTGATAATTATTGAACATAGAAAGCGCAGCTATTGCTAATTTAACTTGTAAATTTCGCAATTCTACACGATTATCACATGTCGAGATCTAACAGGAAGACTCTCCAAAGTACAACGCATCACACTCGACAAAACCTAGTCTGTAGACAAAATTCTGTATAGAAGTAGATGGGATCTTATCTTTTATTCTGACTAAAGCATTTCTTACTGTTGGTCGTCTTAAAGAAGGCTTCAGTCCACATCAAGATCCGCTGTATTTCTTCTGTCAAGGTGAATCTATAATATCAATCCAATATCTTTCATTAAAATTATTATTTATATAAGGATAGTTTTGTTTTACTATGTTTTCAATAATATTCTTAGGAAAATTATTAAATCGTAGGATGTTTATTGTACCATTTGTTCATTAAGCCTATATTCTGAAGTGATGATATTGGTTGCTCTTCTGAATAGATTCAAGGCTAGGAAAACGTTTGCACTGAATGGCTGCGGAGAGTTAGAATCAATATACTGATTTAGTAGTGGTAGTAGTTGTAAAATTAGAAATTGTATTACTGCTAGTAGAAGCACTAGGAAATTAATTATTTATGTTACTAGTATTAGTGTTAGCAGTAATACTAGTAGTAGTACTATTGGCAGTACTATGAATAATACTAGTATTACTTCTAGTTGTAATGTTAGTAGTAGTAAATGTAATAATAGCGTTAGTAGGAGTATTAATTTTTTATTTGTAGTAAAGTGTCACTCATATATATTAACTGTGAAAATAAATATATTCTTGGAGTATGAAAAATAACATAATTTTAAAACTCAAAATCTAAGGTATAAGAAAAATTTATTGTGTTGACGTGATCCAGGATCATAAACTGCAATCCATGTTACTTAAGCTCCCCAACCACTGATCACGATTATCACGTGGATCCTAGCAGTTTAATCTGCAATTGTGAACATGACTTGAACTGAAAGCCAGTAAAGTTATTGACTGATCTCATGAATGTGTTTGGGAGCCATCAATCTTCCTACTACTTACATCTATTCCATCGGATAATTGTAACGCGTCTCAGTCACTTAGTTCAATACAAATTATCCATCTCATCAACCTATTTCTTATCTTTGATTCTTACACTTAGTTTAACGTCAGCATTGCCTACTTAATAGCCCTAGCATATGCGACGATTATTCTGAAAACATTTATGATCATCTAAGGGTAATCTATGAATTTTCTCCAATTATTAACAAATGTTTCAATAAAATAATCTTTACGATATGGGTCACTAATGAAAACTATTTAGAATGTCAAAATGAATAGAAAACGTCGATCGACCATAGTATTTTGATAGGAACAACTCATCACTGGATGTTCATATATACACTTCTCTCAGTAGACTTCTTCGACGCAAGAACATTTTACAGAGATCAGATGAATTCATTTCACTTAGTACGCTTTACATCTCCCATACATATATTGATCCTTGAAATAAATAATTTTGTAAATAATATTATTTTCGAAGCATTGATGAAGAGATTTACTTTACTGGTAAAATAAAATAAATCTTGGTTTTTACAACCATACAAGTTCAATTTATATAAAAATGAGAAAAGTAATAGAGATTGTAAATTAAACCTCAAATTGGTAGTAGTAGTAGTAGTAGTAGTAGTAGTAGTAGTAGTAGTAGTAGTAGTAGTAGTAGTAGTAGTAGTAGTAGTAGTAGTAGTAGTAGTAGTAGTAGTAGTAGTAGTAGTAGTAGTAGTAGTAGTAGTAGTAGTAGTAGTAGTAGTAGTAGTAGTAGTAGTAGTAGTAGTAGTAGTAGTAGTAGTAGTAGTAGTAGTAGTAGTAGTAGTAGTAGTAGTAGTAGTAGTAGTAGTAGTAGTAGTAGTAGTAGTAGTAGTAGTAGTAGTAGTAGTAGTAGTAGTAGTAGTAGTAGTAGTAGTAGTAGTAGTAGTAGTAGTAGTAGTAGTAGTAGTAGTAGTAGTAGTAGTAGTAGTAGTAGTAGTAGTAGTAGTAGTAGTAGTAGTAGTAGTAGTAGTAGTAGTAGTAGTAGTAGTAGTAGTAGTAGTAGTAGTAGTAGTAGTAGTAGTAGTAGTAGTAGTAGTAGTAGTAGTAGTAGTAGTAGTAGTAGTAGTAGTAGTAGTAGTAGTAGTAGTAGTAGTAGTAGTAGTAGTAGTAGTAGTAGTAGTAGTAGTAGTAGTAGTAGTAGTAGTAGTAGTAGTAGTAGTAGTAGTAGTAGTAGTAGTAGTAGTAGTAGTAGTAGTAGTAGTAGTAGTAGTAGTAGTAGTAGTAGTAGTAGTAGTAGTAGTAGTAGTAGTAGTAGTAGTAGTAGTAGTAGTAGTAGTAGTAGTAGTAGTAGTAGTAGTAGTAGTAGTAGTAGTAGTAGTAGTAGAAATAATAATATGGATGGAAAAAAAGTTGAAATATATATAGGGTTCAAAAACGTTTCGAATAATGAAATGAGTAATAGAGCCGGCTACAATAATAGCTACAACGAACTAGAAATACGAACATGGCTTAAATCAAAGATGATGTTATTGTACTTGCTGGAAATGTGCCAAGCATATGAAAAAATGTCTGTAGAAATTATAGGTCAAGAAAATTGTTGCAAAAATAATCGAAGCGTAATAGTCAATTAATCGAAAATATCTTACAAGATGAAAGATGAATCTTTTTCTCGTACATATATTAGGACCGAGACCATGAATCGTTTCTGTTTCCGAGTAAATTGGCAGTCTGTAGTTGTTCTACCTGCGCGTAATCATTACTCTGTCACAAGATTCAGTTCATAATCTGTGTACGTGATACGTCTATCTATATAGTTGTTAAGCTATTCGTTGTCAGAAAATATTAAAAGATTTTCTTATATGAGATTCTTTTTATTCTTCTGACCAACGTGCTACTGCATGTATTGTTGAATAAGTGAATCAAACAATTAGACATATGTAGTGGGGAGTTCGGGTCTCTGAATAGAGTTTTCTTGTTATATGAATTAGTTTATGAGCGATTGTAAGTGGGAGATCAATACTGTCTTTTGATCAAGAACTATTCTAAAAGTCTACAAAATCTCCTTTAAATAGAAGTTTAGCCAATGCATTCTTCTTGGGGCTAGTGACTAGTTGGGTCCAAAGTTTTGTTACTTAACTCTCTTCAAGTCGTGGCTGGATGCAAATGCGTTTTGCTTATTAGTCAGTTGCCTCGCTTGGATAAACGAAATTTTATATCGATTTGGTATGAAAAAAAGTCACCACGATCATGATAATAAAGTTATTGAACTTGCATTACTTTTCAAATTAAATCGAAACCATTATCCTCTTTAATAGCAATCAATTTTGTCAAGTAACGTGAATTTATTTGACTCAATGACCTTTTTTCAAATAGATGCGAGTAATGAATTGGGAAAGTCCAGCTAAGTATTACTTTGTTTTTTAATATCAACTAATTGCTTCAAGGATAAAATATAAATATATGGGCTGGCCAGTTGCAAATTATCTAACATGATTCTTTTTTTTACTTGTCCTGAAATCGTATTATTTTAATTAAATTGCTTTTATGAACCAAAAATGCTACCTGTTGCTTGATATTAACAATTCCATGATTTCAATGAAATCGAATAATCTCCACAACCCTATATTGAAAATTATCATGAGTTCACTAATGACTAGCATCGAGAGTTAGTAAAAAGCCGTGATCAGTAGTGGCCAGCCGTGTCGGGTCTGCGTCAGTAACCAACAGAAGACAATGGAAGATGGTCGCAGATTATCGTGGATTGGTTGATGTTGGACGTTGACACCGCTGGATCTCTGCTCAGAGGTCTAATGGTCAAGTGTTCGCGCAAGATTGGGTCCAAGCCGTGTGTGCAGGATTATGGCTGCACATTGTTAGGATTCCCATATTAGGACGAAACGGCCCTTCAGTGTTTCCAGATTTTTAATGGTAGTCTGATCGTAAACTTTTTGTACAGACTGACAAAATTGGATATATACAGATTCGTCTATTGATCATGAAGTAAGCTGGAAAACGTATTTCTGGGAAATACCTGAAATTTGATGATTTTACAAACAAAATATATTTTTATTTGTCCGCATATTTTACTATAAGTAATAACAAATGGTCGCGCTTCACCCTTAGTTTATTTTCGTGTTTACTTAGATTAAGGAAGCCACCGAAAATCTATGAAGATTGTCCATCCAAACTCTAGAAAGTACGTAAGTATTAAAATGTTGACGTTTAGTTGGTAGTTATCAAGAGCATAACGTTCAGTACAGTTGTTATCCGTTAGAAACTATGGAAGTTTAAACCGAAACTATATGAAATGAAATAATTATTAATTTTTCATACCTAGAACATTTTCATGTCTACACATGTCAGATAAAGCAGATGAATAGTTTCTGATTTAGTCACTATACATCTTGTAAGAAAACAAAACACGCGATAGTTGATTCCCTGTGACCGAGATCACAATCAATCCAAACATACATAGCTTTTTTAACAAATGAAACGTAGAGATATTGAACATTGTGTAATCAAACAAGTGGTAAACTCCTTGACAATAATATGATTTGTAAATATAATATTGTAGTTATGTATTTGTTCGTCTATGAAAAGCTGTACACTTTTAACAAATTGTTTTATTACTAATGTACAACACAGTAATATAACATTATATATTTACAATAACATGAAATACATTTTAATTCATTGCTGCCCAACTATAAAATCATGTTAGTATTATTCAACGATCATTATTGCAAACATACTTATGCTGAATGTTTGAGAAGTCTGATTCATATTACGTAAGCTGTCATGATGAAAAACATTAACAAAACTCTTTATTAAAGTTTTCTTACATTGAATTGCCACTGTTACTGAGTATTGTACCATTATAATTGAAGTAATCATGTATATTAAGAATAATATTTTAATTCTTCATGTGGAATAACACTTCCTTACTAGTTGTTTATTTACTAGACTTCTAAATTTAAACAAAGAGAGAGAGTTCACTTTCTTTTCAATATCAGTTCATTTCAATGGTTATAAGCATTGCGAAGTTGTACGTATGAAATTTGAAATTTATTAAAACAAAACGTTTCATTTTGTCTGGCTGTTCAATAATTTACTTATCTAGCATTTACGAAGATTATTACTGTACCGTTACAAGACAATATATCTTCTGTAATCCATCTGTCCATAAAACAATGATTATTTAGTTATTTTTATTTCTCATTTCTTTAATAATCCCTCCTTATTCCTCTCTCTCTATCTCTATATTATCTCTCTCTCCCTCCCAGTTTATCTATCAATCATTGAACTGTTTTAAAAGTCATAAACTTTTCTGTCTTGTACAAAATGTCGAGTTTATCTCTTAGACAATCTCACTCAAATGTAATCAGTGTTAAATCCATTTAAATGAAGATGAATTGAACAATTTTTTTGTAATTTATGAAACGTGATTCCAGTGAAAAGCTTGCTTACCGATAAATGAATGAATGATTGATTGGAAACTATCCAACGATGGAATGTAATGATATGAATAGGTTGGATACTGATTACTTGTAAGTAATTACAAGTAAATAAGTTGACAGAAATTTAATAACTTACAAGTTTCCACTTAACTTTTATTCACCATTATATGAATCGTTCAAATGTAAAAATAAAAACACTTAACATCATTTTAATTAAGTAACCCTAATTATGTAAAGATCAGTCAAGTTGATATAAAAAGGAATGTAACATGTAAAAACTAATAAGATTGCATTACTCAGAAAGATGTGAATCGTGAATCGTTTTAGCTGAAGATTAATTACAAAGATTTTAAGGTAATGTATATATTTCTGAGCATAACATTGTTATTGGAGCAATATCCTGTAAGCACAAAGTAGTCTTTGATAAGCAGTTTGACAACAACACATGTGTACTAAGAAATCGGGAGCTACAATGTTATGAGAGTTTTCGAACGGTAGATAATCCATAGAACGTAGTAATTGGGAACAAGTATTTTTTAAAAAAGGACTAGGACGTCATGTTTGCGAATAAAGTGTGTCAAAAATAGACTGTAGTCTCTTTTCGAAATACTAACCATTGATAACTAGGGGATGAAACAACAAGATACACAGGACGACAGCAAGTACGTAATTATACTATTTAAAATACAGCGGCATTCAACTAAATCGTGACAGCACGAATCATCGTTGAACAATCAGTTGAATGGTACTCGTCATTATACATCGATTTCGTTGACTAATATGTCATTTGACAGTGTGGATAAAAGAAGATGAGATTATGAAATTTTCTTAAACACTATGGTTTATCTGAGAAGATCGTCAACGTCATTCAGAATTGATACGATGGACTATACCGCAAAGTCTTGCATGGAGGACAGCTGACAGATGCATTCCAAGTAAGGACCGGGTTAGACAACGCTGCTTACTCTCACACCTTCTCTTCCCTCTGGTGGTTGATTGGATTATGAAAACCTCAACAACTAAAGGGAAGCCCGGAATACAATGGACAGGGTGGGTGCGATTAGACGATTTAAAATTCGCAGATGATATGGCTATTCTATTCCATACACACCGACAAATGCAGGTCAAGACAAACAGGGTAGCGACAGTCTCTGCATCAGTAGGCCTCAGCATATACAACGGAAAAAGCTAGATGCTAAAATTTAACACAGAGAATATCAACTCTATCATACTTGGTGGAGAAAATGTAGAACAAGTGGAAACATTCATGTATCTGGATAGCATCATCGATGAATGTGGAGGATCTGAAAAGACGTAAATGGGAGGATTTTCAAAGCAAGGATAGCATTCCTACACTTGAAGAACATATAGAACACAAAACAACTGTCAACCAATATCAAAGTCACAATCTTCAATACGAAAGTCAAGATAGTTCTACTATACGGAGTTGAAACTTTGGCAACTACTACAACCTTCAGCAAAGAAATACAAGTAATTGTAAACAATTGACTATGTAAGATACTGAGTGTGCATTGGTCGGAAACCATCAGTGATAGCCTACTATGGGATAGGACGAATCAGCTTCCATCTGAGTAAGAAATTAGGAAAAGTCGATGAAAGTGGATAGGACACACATTGAGGAAATCATCAAACTGTATCGCTTAGCAAGCGCTTACTTAGAATTTCGAAGGTAAACGTAGTAGTTGAAGGTCAAAGAATACACTGCACCGAGAATTGGAATGAAACATGAAAAAGATGAATAGCAATTGTAAAGAACTGGAAAGGATTACACAGGACAGAGGTAGATGGAGAATGTTAGTGAGCGGCCTATACTCCTCCATGAAGCGTAATAGGCGTAGTAAGTTAGTATTTGATTTTGAATACATAATTAAAAGAACATGTCAAAACAATTACGTTTTGGCGCGAATATAAATCCGATACTTGAAGAACTTATTACAAACTACATGTCGATTTGTGTTAGATTGTTTACTGAACAACATTTATTTGAAACTGTTGAGAAATCTTAGCTCGGATGCAGACGGTTCTACTAGCTTTTGCCAACTTGCGTCATTCATGGAGTAGGCGAGATATCCGTCTATCAACCAAAGGACGTGCTTACTGTGCAGCGGTTCGTTCCGTCCTACTTTATGGCAGTGAAACATGGCCGGTAAAAGTCGAGGATATTCGTAGGCTACTAGTAGTTGTCTTCGAAACATTGCTCGTATATCCTGGGTCCTTCGAGTAAGTAACGCAGTTGTCAGGAAACGGGTACTAGGTACTAGGATGGCAAATCAGTTGATGACGTAGTGAAAATTCATCAGTTGAGATGGCTGGGAGACGTGTTACGTATGCCCAATGACCAACTGCCTCGACGTGCGATGTTCAATGGTATAGGAGTAGGTTGGAAGAAAGCTAGGGGCGGCCAGACCAAAACATGGCACAAGTCCATGAAGTCACTGACAAGTGAACTGAGTCATGTTGGTAGGTGTAGACTATCTGATTGGGGACCGCGAGATTATAGCAACCGATGGTTAGCGACCCTGAATGACATGGCTCAAAATCGTTTGCAATGGCGCAGGTGCATACACTCTTTGTGTTCTTCCAAATTATAATCTCCTGACACAAGCAATGTATATTTTAAAGATGTAGTACTTCATCCTTTTAACTATAGTTTCAAAGTATATTTTAACTGAATGATTTTGTTATGCTTTATCTCTAATAACATTGTCTGAGTTGTTCATTATCTATATTGGTACTTTATTGTTGAAAACTGTAGGAAATACAGAAATTTTTTAATACATATCAGATAAGAGTCTATAACAATTTACTAGTATAAGCTAGATTTTCTAATCGTAACAACCTAGATGTAATCAATAGTTGGGAGAAAACAGTAAAAATGTGATAAGTACAACCTATTTCTGATGTTTATCATAGAAATTAATCAATAAAAAATTATCATATATTTGCTAAAACTATTAGTTTCATTTTACTAAGTTACTGTTTTTAATGACTGAACTTATCACGGTACTTCATATAAAATAATTCAATAATCAGATTACGATTTACAACACGTACTTATCATATATGATAATACTTAACTAATGGACATCCATTGTTCTCAGGTATTCAATGGTGGTTTAACATCGATCAGTTCATGATCTCAGTAATATTTGTGTAAACTACCAGCAGCGATGAGCTTCAAGTGAGAATACCTCAGGACTAGCCGTTGTTTACCAATTCCATTTCATTTATAGCATAAATGAGATTAAGTTGACCTATATGATGATTTGTATTCAGGTCACCCTGGTAGTCAGATTAACACAAAGTATTCATTCATTGATTCATTCATGTTTAGTAATGTTCGTTTACAAGTTGGTCTATTTCAGATTGTTATCAGCAGGATGATTAGCATCATCTCAACAGTCAGTCCACTATGAATTGTTGAAATTTATGTAACATTTGATTTTATCCAATTGTACTGTATTCTTATCAGTTGGTAAGAAGTCTCTTGCAGTACAGACTGTTTGAACCATATTTATTATCCATTTAACACGAACTGCACATGTCCATTTAAAATATTCGTAAGGTAAGTGGCAAGTCCGATAAACTTTACTTATGTTTGGGTGATTAATACCTGTGATAAGCACAAATCCCATTTATCAAACGTGACAATATAAAGGCTTATCTAATAAAAAAATTTTCTTCAATATAAACCATTCATTCTAGGCAGTATTCACATCGTGATTCATTCTAGATGAAAGCTATTCTGTGTGTTCAAAAAGGTTCGCGTTAATATTGAACATATCACTTATGTGATAAATGAATTCTTAAATGTGTACAGTTATCTTCCGAATCCAGTCGATACTTTAAATTAACTTGAATTAAACAGATTACTGATTTCCGTCATAATAGAAATTGAACTCTTCTATTACACTGTATATTAATTAGATGGACATGTAGAAGTCAATAAACTGATTCAATGATAATTTTATTATCAGAAAGGAGATTTTCTGGACACTGTAGTAACTTAACAGTTGAGTTCATGAGTCAATTGAAGCTAGAACACCATAGAAAATGTATAACACGTCATTAAATATCATGTCTGCACTAAATTCGTTATTATTATACGTTTCTAAGTAGAAATTCTTTTAGAAATTCATAATGTACAATCGTTAACACTTAAATATTATGACTTCTATACCATCGTACGCACAGTTTTGATTGAGCTTAGTCAATTTCTTCAGATTTCAACCACCTGGATAAGAGTAACCTCTTTAGTAAAACAGTTTATATGTGTGAATAAGCACATAACCAATCAACTAAGAAAAATTGTAAGGAGCAGAAAATTTACAATTTTGACACAACAAGCATTCCCGTATATGTTTGTTCAGTACATTGGTGCCAGTTTGCTTATCAAAA